AAATAACCAGTATTTTAAAAAGAATTGTCACAGTTGTTTAAAACAGAGGTACTTCCCCCCTTCCAGAACATCAAAGCCCCTTTGAATAAACGTGCGGTTCCCTCAGTATCCCCCTCCGAACATCTACAATCCCGGTGGGTCATTGAAGGAAAAGAAAGTGAGTGAGGGTTATGAATAAAATATGCATTAGAAAGAAAACAAAAGAGTCAAGGGAGACAACTTGGATATCAGCTCTCTTCTGAAAGTGAAAAAAGACAGAATTTATTTTGCTCGCAGCTAGACAGAGATGTCAAGATAGATTAACTGTCATCTCAAACGTATGTTAAGGGACCATTCAGAAGCAATATTCTTTTGTCCACTATTTTAACAATGTATTCTTTGATGCAGTATTCTTATTGGGGAAATATGGGATTCTGAAATTACAATGGTGTGTTTTCGGTTACCTTGGATTAATAATATCCAGGTAAGTATGTTTAGATGGCTGCCTTCCTTAATGCTGCTGTCATTGGCCACCTCTACACATTGTACATATTTTAACCAACTTGATGATTTGGGTCAAAGCTTGAAGCAGTTTTTCCTTTTCCCACAGGAATTCATCTGTAATTCATATTACTATTTTGGAAGATCTACCTTTTGGGACATCCGTGGCAAGACTGGTTGCAGTGGACAGAGATATAGGCGACAGAGTCTACTATGAATTTGTGGGCAGTTACAGAGGTTTTGCTATTGATTCTGGTAAGGTAGGATCTGTGGTACACTAAGCCAAATAGACTCCAGCATCCATACATGGTGCTAGGCCCACCCCCACATTGCATTCCAAGCAAGCAACACAACCAGGAGTTTTATCATGTCTCATTTGACGGCCACCAAAAATGGCTGGTTTCATTTAACTTTGAAGTCTGCAACAAAAGGCTCAAGTGTCCTGAAAGAGGGTGGGAAGAATACAGGAAGCTACCTTATATATTTTTAAAATTGAGAATATTGGCCCATCTTGCCCAACTGGCTGCCTTATATTTTAAGAAAAGTGACATTATTGGCCCATCTTGCCCAGTGTTCTCCATTCTGACCGGGAGCAGCTCTGCAGAGTCTAGGGCAGAGGTTTCTCCCAACCTGGATGCCTGATTCTTTGAACTGGAGATGTCAGAGATTTAACCTGGGACATTTCCCTACAGTGTGTGTGCTACAGCACTCACTTTCAGCCTCTTCCCATAGGCAGGGGCGTAGCTAGCTGCTCCAGCACCCGGAGCTGCGGGGGCAGGGTGATCTGCCCATGGGGACGGCGCGGCGATCCATGCACAGAGTCCGCCTGGCAGAAGCAAGCCCCACGCTGCCATTTCGGACAGCATGGGGCCCTGAGCATCACTCCCAGGAGAGATGCGTGGCTAGGGCATGCTGCAGGCCAGGCCCCACAGTAAGTGCCCCCCCCGTGGTGTGCCATCATGTCACCCTCCTCAAGGATGACACCCGAGGTGGACCACACACCCCTTCCTACGCACCTGCCCTTAGACTCAAATACAGTGGACGCTCGGGTTGCAAACGTGATCCATGCAGGATCGCAACCTACAGTGTTTGCAACCCGCAGCGGTATGTCTGCGCACGCACAGGTTACGATTTGGTGCTTCTGTGAATGCACAAAGCGCGATTTAGCACTTCTGCGCATGTGCGACTGCCGAAACCCAGAAATAACCCAAGGTATGACTGTATAGTGGAAATGATTTCATTGTCAATTTCTTACTGCAAAGATTTGGTTCCCTTAATCATGAATTCTGGAAATTTTAAGCATGGAGAATTAGATGATGGACAATAGAGAGGATAAGAATATAAACATCAAAGGTCTGTAGTATTTAAATTAATACTGTGAGAGGACATTCTCAATAGATGTTGAGAGGCTATTTGGAGATGGTAATAAACTATGTTATTTATAATATAATACTAATGTAAACTATAAAATACACCCAACTGATTGATTAATATGCTGTGCTACGTGTTTAGCTGCTTTTGATGATTATTAATTATAATTAATGATTATGTTGAATGATTATGTTGAAACTGATTTTTTTTTTTGTATTTAAAACCTAATCTAAACCACTTTGTGACCTGAAAGGCAATTATGTATATTTGACTCATGCTCATCTTTTAGGCCTATTTATACCTAATTGGGACACAGGTGGCGCTGTGGGTTAAAGCCTCAGTGCCTAGGGCTTGCCGATCGAAAGGTCGGCGGTTCGAATCCCTGCGGCGGGGTGCGCTCCCGTCATTGGGTCCAGCGCCTGCCAACCTAGCAGTTCGAAAGCACTTCAAGTGCTAGTAGATAAATGAGGGACCGCTTACAAGCGGGAAGGTAAACGGTGTTTCCGTGTGCGCTCTGGCTCGCTAGAGTAGCGATGTCACGCTGCCACGTGACCGGAAGTGTCTCCGGACAGCGCTGGCCCCGGCCTCTTGAGTGAGATGGGCGCACACCCTAGAGTCTGGCAAGACTGGCCCGTACGGGCAGGGGTACCTTTACCTTTATACCTAATTGATAGCAGTGTAGTAATGCTATCAGCATGCTTAGCTCAAATAAGCAGATCAATGGGACTTGAATCCAATCTGATATAAACACAATTCCTATAAAAGAAAGTTATCCACCTATAGAGAAAGCTTATACTTTGCCAATATGTTCTATTATCATTCTAAACTGGTCTCTCATATTTGCTTCTGCTTCCATTACTTTAAAATGTTTTGCAGTGTCATCCAAGGCATCTCTCCCCTACCCCCAATATATATATATTTTGGTACCTAGATACTGGTGAAATTACAACCACCTATCGTTTGGACTATGAAGACCTCACTTTCCCCCATAAAACTGCATTGGAAATCAGAGCTTTTGACAATGATAGGTTGCATTCTTCCACTGTTCTGCTGATTATCACCCTGCAGGATGTAAATGATAATCCTCCATTTTGCACCCAAGACCTTTACATGTAAGTGTACTTTCTATAGTCGTTGTTTTCAGTAGTAGAAAAAAAAAGTGCTCAATTTTAATTGTAAGGGTTGCCATATGTCTGTAAATATCGGCAGTGCCGTTTTTCCATAAAAAGCTCAACAACTTTGCCAAAAAAATCTCAACACGGATTTTCACTGTTTGAAATATGGCAACCTATCATATCTAGTAAACAGGAGTTCAGTTCTGACTTATCTGGGTGTTGCGAACATGGCTGAGGTCATTTTTTTTCCATGTACATTTTCAGCTATGCAGAAAAAAAATGTGACACCCTCCACAAATTCCAAGTTTAAAATGTTTGCTCATTTTGATTACTCTCAAATGTTCCTTCTTGCCCCCATGACATCAGCATGCAGCCTGGCCTGGCCATGCAATGTTGTGACATCCTGTTCACCATGGAGGTCCGGTTAGTGTAATCACCCCTGTTGATTAACCCAGAAGGGAGATTTCCAAGTAGAAGGAAACAGCCAAATGATTGAGCAAAGAGGCAGGCCAGAAGGCGCAATGGGAAATCAAGGAAGCAAACAAACAAGCAAGCAAGTAGGGTGGTACGTTAAGGAATCAATAATGGAGTAAGTCTATAAGCAGATCAAGCTGTTTCTCCCCAGAATAAAGATCTTAGCCGGAGCCAACAGAATTATAAGGCCAGATGTGTTTTTCTGGATCCATTACGTGACCTGATCTCTGGTAGATTGCACACTGAAGTACTTCCTTCGACCATCTGCACTAGTGTAGTACTCAAGGAATCAGGTTAAAGCTCCCACATGCATGCTTCCAGAGTGGTGTGGGGAGCAGAGATCCGGGTTTAAAATCCCTGACACTTTACAGGAGGAAGCAGGAACAATCCAAGGAGAAAAGGTGCCAAAGAAAAAAATAGTTTATGTAAATGTTCAACCTCTTCAATCTGAATGTGTTGTCTGGCACTTTCAAACCAATTTCAAGCATGGCATTTGGGGGAAGCAGTATTGGCTACTAGTCGACACTGCAAAACCCAAATATCAAAGCAAGTCCAAGAGTATTCAGTGAAGCCAAAGTTCTGAATGTAGGATGTTAACTAAAAAAAAAAAAGCATGATCAGGGGCATAGGAAAGGGGGGTGGTGGTCCGCCCTAGGTGCCATCATGGAGGGAGGTGACAAATTATCAAGGAACAATTATTGCCCTACTAGGGTGGTTCATTAAAAAAAATTTTTTTTTAAAAAATGTCTGCTCTGAAGGTCTTATCTTACTACACTAGGGATGATATAGCTGTATATGAAATTTCATGCATATCAGTTAATATCTTGACTGTCCTCCATGAAAATAGCTGTTTACTTGGCCATTTTCCTATGTGGTGAAGGCTGAAATTTCAATTCAGTGGAGCAGGGTCACGATATTAACTGATATGCATGAAATTTCAGATATGGCTATATAATCCCTAGTTTAGTAAGATAAGACCTTTTGAACAGGCAGGTTTTTTTTTTTTTTTAAAAAAAGTTATTTATGTACCACCCTACTGCCCTACCCTCCACTGGGCTTCCTGGGTCCTGGAAAGTCGGCCTATGTGAAGAAAATGAGACGAGGCTGAGTAGATTATGCCTTGCCTTCATCCCACCCCCTGCATGCAGCTGATTTTTCATGATTTTACTGCTGTGGTTTTGTTTTGTTTTGGTAAACCACTTTGCAGGTTTTTAAAAATAAATTTTAAATAAATTTTAAATTATTACATAAATAAACAATAAATATAAATAAAATAACACAAGCCAAACCACAGTCCATCCTGTAGATTTAAGTATCTGTCCATAGTCGCCTACGTGTTATCAGAGGCCCAGAATCCACATTCCTTTATAAGAAAATATGAAATATGAAAATATGAAATGTTTTTTGTAGGCAAAAAAAAAAACAAAAAACAAAAAACAATGTGGGGGGGGGTGACAAGAAATTTTCCGCACCGGGTACCACCTGACCTTCCTATGCCTCTGTGCATGATGTCCTGTTTTTATCATAGGTATGTCAGTTAGAGTTACATGCATGTTCTCTATGGATTTTCTCATTTATAGCATTGAAGTGCCTGAAACAATTGCTATTGGGACTCGCTTGTACACCTTAGAGTGTGGAGATAGAGATGGAACACCTCCCAACAATGTTCTCACCTTTACACTGGATGATTATTCCAATAATTTTTTCACGCTAGCTGGCAAGGAAATCAAAGTATGTACTATCACAAAACACTTTACTGTGCACAAGTGTTTGTTAGCCAGCTAGATTGCAGCTTCAATTGTTAATTGAAAGACAATTTGTGTTGACATAGAAATTAATACAGAAGGGTAGGTGCTTGACTATGCAGAACTAAGAGATCGCGGTGGTGTGGTTTGGGACAGTAATTCTGTGCTGAACAGCTCTTGAAAACCAACACCAAAACATCTGACCCAGATATACATCTCCATAGTTTGGTCACTTGTCATTTTATTATATAACACTTGGAAATTGAATGTGTGAACTATCTCCTTGGGGGGGAATGTAAATGGTTGGAGGTGACATGATGCTGTCATCTATAGTGTAAGATCTGTAATGACTTTTTCACCTATGTGGATATCATTTGCTGCTGCAGTCATCAAATGACAAAGCAGGAAAACCACAGTATCCCAACTTGTATATATCCTAGTTTACTTGTTCTTAAGCTTGTTTTTCTCATGCACCACTTAAAAATTGCTGTAGTTCTTGGTGTACCAATTAATGGGTTTTTTTTGCCTGTTGTAGCAATTTTAATGAGTGCTTTACTAGATCATAGAACTGTAGAGTTGGAAGGGACCATCAAGTCGAATCCCCTGCAGCCTAGAATAGCATTAACTTTTTTTGTTGCTGCATCACACCCTTGATTCATGTTAAGCTTGTGGTCTACTAAGACCCTTAGATCTTTTTCACACGTACTACTGGCAAGCCAGGGGTTCCACATTTTATATTTGTACAGCTGCCTAAATTTAGAACTTTGCATTTCTCTCTATTGAAATTCATTTTGTTAGCTTGGGCTCAGTTCGCCCAATAGCAAAAGCTGTGTACAACTGATATATACAATTCCTTCCCAGCAATATAAATATAAATTTTCCCTATAGGTTGGTCCTCAGCACCTAAACTGTGATTCTGATCTGTTTGCCGCAATGCAGTTCAAGCATATACTGATGATCCAAGTTTCTGATGGTGGTGAGCCACCACAAACACGTAAGTTGTCCTGAGCATGTGGAAGACCTAGATGTATCTAGATTCATGTGAAGGAAGATCACCTTCTCAGCAAAGACCCTGTTACCCCAGGAATCCGGGGCTGGACAGGCTTCTATCTCCATTGACATAGAAAGGCATAAAGCCACATGAAAAGGAAATGTTTTCAATCCTTCTCCCAAATCCCTGTGATTGGAGTGCCCTGGGAAAACAATTCACTGTGATTAAAAACTGAAATAAAAGATTCCCTCTACCTGTCAACCCCCCACAAGATGCATAGATCTTGCCACCCACATTTGAATTCTGGCTCATTCAGTAAAATCCCGTAATAATAGTTCTTTTTGAAGCACCGATCTGGCATTTATAAAAGAGCAGTTGAAGGTTTTGTGGACTGAAAACAGGGCTTTCTCTGGGATCAGAATTTTTGGAGAAGGACTGAAAAGGGGGAAAGCTTGTAGGCATCTAAACCATCTTCCATCAACTAGATTTGTCTTCCTTCCATATTCTTTCCCTCCCATGAATCCCAGTCTTGCTCTCTTCTCCAACACCATAGGATCCAATTTCATTGCTGTATGCCAGGCACACCCTAAAACCTCAGTGTTGCAGCAATACTAGCCGAAAAGGGAATATAAAAAAATACGATACCCCACCGAAAGCTCTTGGCACTTTTGTTATCAGAAAAATGCAATCTCAGTCAGAGTGTAATTCTCATTATTCTATCATTAGTATGAAAACAAATACCACTAACCTTGCTGGTGATGGGAACATAGATGATTAAATGTTTGTTCTAATTCAGTCACCTCTCCACTCTCAATGGCAAGCCTTTATGCCCCTTCCCAAATTAGCACAATCAGAGGAACCCCTGTACTCTTCTCCCCACACCTGCTATACAGAGTGGCTGGGGAAACTCAGCCAGATGGGCGGGGTATAAATAATAAATTATTATTATTATTATTATTATTATTATTATTATTATTATTATTATTACTACTACTACTACTACTACTACTACAGCACTAAGGGAACATCCAAGAGGGATGGGAATCTCAGTCACTTTGGGAATTTCATAGAAGGACTACCTACTGAGGCTTTGTGGTTTGCATGAAGGACTAAAAAGAAGAGTGGACCACATTACTTGCTTGTTTAAGAGCAGTGTGTTATTTTGTATTTTGTGATGTTTATTTGCAAATATGTTAAGACTGTTTTGCAGTGAAGCTTTGAAACTCATTCTTGTGGTGGAGAGCAAATTCATTTCTATTTTGCACAAGGTCCAGATCAGGGATTCTTCATTTGCAGCAACTCTAACAAAAAGAAGGGGAACCGCTCACAGCTAGGACGACAAGTGCAAAGACTGTATAAATAAGCCTTCTGACTACTAAGCAGTGCAATCACCACTGAAGGCTTTTCATGGTGTGTTTTTTTAAGATGCCAGCCAGGGCCACTAACAGGCCTTGGCAAGATTAGATGTCCAGAGCAAAACTGCAACTTCTATTGTTCTCCTGTTGACTGGGCAGAGGGACCGAGATGGGAGATGGGAAAAGAGAAGGGAGGTATACCACCTACCCCTTTGGAAGCCCTCAAGGAAGATCCAGCTGATTTGGGGAAGCATTCAGCAGCCACTCTGGCCCGTTAGGTAGGCAAGACCTAGCTGACACACCTGGCTGCTGAATTTTAATCCTTCTGATTCCAGTAGCCCTATTCTGTCCAAGCCTAGGCACCTTCATGGCAGTCAGATCATAATCCTATAGCAATTACACTGCAGAAAATCTATGAGGCAAAGTTCTCCAACAACATTCTTTGAAACTTGTTTATTGCTCTTCTATTTTTTTAAACTCCCTTTCAGGCACAATTAGGGTTATTGTGAAAGTCACCCGTACTAATGAAATAGATCCTCATACTGGCACAAATATATTCCGCGTGCTTGAAAACAGCAGCATTGGCACTGTGGTTGGAAGAGTCGCCTTTACAGACGAAGACTGGCCATTCAATAATTTGAAGCACACACTTGTTGGCGATGGTGCAGGACATCCTCCTAAGTTTTATATAGAGCCAGATACAGGTATTGCCAATTCTTTTAAAGGCTTCTATGCTCAAGAAGAATGAATGCCACAGGAAGAAAATTTGCCTTAGCTTTCATCCAGCATTTTACTGGAGTTAAGAAGAGAACATGGTTTTAGGCAAGATTCAGTCCTGGACCTTACTAAAGTGGTCTTGGTTCTAAACTGGTGTCTGCCATCAGTAATGGACCAGATAAGGGTGAACAAATTGAAACTTAACCCAGACAAGACAGAGGTCAGTCTGGGTCAGTAAGAAGCCATAACAGGGAATAGGGATTCAGCCTTTGCTCCTGGACTCAGCCCTGAGCCTGGATGCCCAGGTCTCTGCTGTGGCAAGGAGGCCATTTGCATAGTTAAAGCTAGTGCACCAGCTGCATCCATTCCTTGAGATGCCCAATTTGGCCAAGTGACACACAGTTCACTTACATCATGTTTGGATTACTGCAATGTGCTCTATGTGGGGCTGGTGCCATGCTATTTTTATTGGAATTCTTTGTATGTTTTAAACAGATTTTATATATTAAATAGTTTTGATTCTATTGACGTTTCATATTTTAATGATTTTTTTCTTCATTTTTAGTGATTCTTGTTTTCATCATTAAGCCACCTTGAGCCCTGTCAGGGCAAAAGGCAGGGTGAAAATAAATCTGTCATGTGTGCTGTTCCGTAATGTTTATCATGCTGTAACACCATCCATTGGGATGCGGGTGGCGCTGTGGGTAAAAGCCTCAGCACCTAGGGCTTACCGATCGAAAGGTCGGCGGTTCGAATCCCCGCAGCGGGGTGCGCTCCCGCTGCTCGGTCCCAGCGCCTGCCAACCTAGCAGTTCGAAAGCACCCCCGGGTGCAAGTAGATAAATAGGGACCGCTTACTGGCGGGAAGGTAAACGGCATTCCGTGTGCTGTGCTGGCTCGCCAGATGCAGCTTGTCACGCTGGCCACGTGACCCGGAAGTGTCTTCGGACAGCGCTGGCCCCCGGCCTCTTGAGTGAGATGGGCGCACAACCCTAGAGTCTGTCAAGACTGGCCCGTACGGGCAGGGGTACCTTTACCTTTACCTTTAACACCATTTTATCCGATCCAGGATTTTCTGGCACTACCTAGTGAAGAGACGCGGAACCTGTGGCTTTCCAGATGTGGTTGCACTACAACTCCCACACCCCTTGATTGTTGACCATGGGCTGATGGGAGCTGAAGAGCCACAGATTCCTCCTCTCTGACCACAGTCAATGAGATTTGCCATCCTATTGCTTTAGTAAGATGCTGAATCCTGCCATGCCCTTGCCTAAAATGTGGCAAAGGATCCAGCGCCTCATAGGCTGCCCTTCTGCTCTTTGCCCTGCCAGCCCCCTCACCCCTCATAAAAAAGGCCTTCGTGGAAATTTGCATTAGTACAAGACTTTGAATCTTCAATATGTGAGCTTATGCAAAATCCACTGAGATTTGAGGATGCTGTTCAAGCAGCTTTCAAGCATCATCTCTTTTGTTCTCACAAAACAAAGTTTTAAAGGATCTCGTTATTAGTACACTAAGGTTGATTAATGTATTTTTCTGCTCAAAAAAATAGAAATGTATTTTTAAAAAATGATTTAATGGTGTGTGTGTCCATGCCAGGTATTATAAAAGTTTTGAACATGCTTGATAGAGAAAGTGAGTCTCAGTATTTTCTCTGGGTGAAAGCTATTGACCTGGACAATGATATTGAACCAGACCCCGTCCGGCAGAGATCCAGCATTGCTATGGTCACAGTCTACATTCTGGTAAGTAAAGGGTTTGTTTGGGGAAGTTTGGAGCATTTGATTCTATATGTATCTGTTGTAAAGCAGTTACAATAATATATTGAGCATGGCTTATTTGTAAAATAGCAGAAACTAGAATAAAGAGATTATTGACTGAGAAGAAGAATGGATTCTACCAGGGATAGCAAAGACCTTCAGATGATGTTCAACTAACTCCCACCACCTCCCCACCCCCACGCAGCCAGCAGGCTTGTGATGGTCATGATCCAGCAACCCTGGATCATAGCTGTCAAGTGTCCCTTATTTGAAGGGACAGTCCCTTATTCCAGCGCCATGTCCCGCTGCTGTCCCTTATTGATGGATGTCCCTTAAATGTCCCTTAAATGATGTCCCTTAAATTTCAAAGGAAGCAGCTCCTCTCCCTCCCTCCCTGCCGGCCAGGGAGGAGGAAGGCTCCAACTGTGTTGCTTGGCTGTGTTGCTCACCCAGTAAGAAGTCTAAGAACGACTGGGGGGTGGAGCTTGCATGCCTTGTGTGTGGCTAGTTAATGCAAGCTGAGGGGTTTTTTGAATGCTGGACGCCATTTTGTTGCACGTGCTGCTGCAAACTTTGCAGTGCAAAGCCAGGCCGGGGAGCCATCTTAAGTTGAGGCTGCATAGGCCTTGTGGTGCATGTGATTCAGATTCTATTCAGTTGAACCTCTGGTTACAAAGTTGGTTGGACAGTGTTCTCGAAGCCACCAGCATGAGTTTGACCAGACTGCAGGAGGACAGGAAGACTGGAGTGCCTGGAACAGGTGAGGCTGCAGGTCCCTTATTTTGGCTGCTGGTCCCTTATTTTCAAGGCTGCTGGTCCCTTATTTTCAAATCTGTAAGTTGACAGCTATGCCCTGGATCCTGGGCTCCCTGAGAAAGAGAGACCTGGCCTCCACAGAGTATACTCTTTTCTTACACCCCCTGTTTCTCCATTTGAGAGACTCATCATCACCAGGTAAGAGAATCATTATTTACCAGGCTGCCCCCTATCATACAAATTTCCAAAAGCTCCCTAAGACCCCTCTGAAGCCTCCTTAGGTACTAAGACATTAAAGCTCTAACACTGCCACAGGTTATGTTAGTAGGTTAAGCGTCTAATGAATTTCCCCCCTTTAATTTCTCTGCTGTGTCTTGCTTTATTGTGAGTTTTAAAATAGTGATTTACTGTTTTTGTTGGTTTAGGAAAAAAATAACATAAAAAGGAGAATTCCCTGGATGCTAAGATCCAGGTTTGCAGCAAGTAGTCTTTGGTGAGGGACCCCAGCAGTGATTTAAAATCACAAAATATGCAGTAAAGTGCAGCAATACAGGCTGTTAGACCATTATAATATACCCTTCCAATTTCCTTCCAATGTTTCCTACTTCCCCTAGCATAGAAAAATATCACATTTGGTTGGTTAAAAATGGTTTACTTACAAATGCTTCAGAGGTCTGGTTCATCTGCTTCCCCGTATGTCAGTCTGAAAAGTTGCATCTGCAATAAAACTTAGTTGGTTACAAAATGGTGAAAGTTCCTAAATGATAGATATAGGGACACAAGTATGACTTGTGAGAGCCACACGGCTAAGCTTGAGCAACCAGCTGAAACCTCTTCCCATGCTGAGTTCACAGGGCCATCTTACCCATAGGCGCTAGGGGTGCAGGGCACCTGGGCACCGGGCTCTCAGGGGAACCAGGCCGAGAGTCCAGGGCCTGAGAGTTGAGTCCGGGGAAGAGCCCACCCATCTGTCGGAGTGCCACGGTGGGATCTTCTGCTGCGGGTGGCTCTGTGCCGCGGGTTCGGGGGTGACTGAGCCAGCTAGACACTGAGGCAGCCGGCCGGCTCCACCCTCCTGCGTACCTGGGACTGGGCAACCTAAGGGGGCGCTGGGCAGATCTTTGCACCCCATATGCTTAAGACAGCCCTGTGAGTTCATCAGGTAGACAGAGAGCAAATGATTACCTAGTTCCAAGGTGATGGGAAGAGGACAGCTTATTCTATTAACCCCTTCATGCATCAATTAGATGTAAGCATGTTGGTTATATGATGCTGGTTATCCCCCAGTTTTAATGATGATTGTTTTCAAATTGTGGGTTTTCTTATTTTATTATAAGCCATTCTGACAGCATTGCTGAAGGGCGACCTAAAAATATAGTAAATAAATAGCCTCTAGGAAACTCACAGTACGAGAGCAATGGCTACCCCTCTCTTAATTGGTCCTCAGCATCTCATACATAGAGATATATCACCTCTGGATGTAATGTTTCAATTTAATTATTGTGACTGTTAGCCCTTAAAAGGCCTATCTTGCACGCCTGATGCCATTTCTCTCGATAACAGAAAGCAGCAGCCATTTCTGCATGTCCCAAAGAAAGCTACTATTAAGAAAATGCATTATGGTACTTATGTTGAATCCGACACAGTGATGACATTGTAGCACGAGTGAGCAATATGGCAGGGTATTTATTCTACAATGTTTATTTAACAGACAATAACCATGTCTCCTTTTGCATTATACAATATGGGAATTGGGGACTGGCAATTTATTGTGTCAAACTACATCAGTGACCCAGCAGAGGCTTTGGGGTGCGTGTGCTTTGTTCCTTTAACAGAAAGCAGCATTTTAGAGACAAGAAATATTCATTAGGGGAAATTATGGCATTGTTAAAGGATTTGCTTTTAAGCTCACACGATCAGTCTGCTTAAAGTCAGCTTTCGCCTTATTTGAAGTTAATGGCTCAATATAAATCAGTGTCAGAGGAGGATATGGAGCCCAGCTCACTCTAAACTGACAGCTGAAGTAGCCTTTTGCCTAAAAGTTATAACCAAGTATTATGCAGAGACACAAGGCACAAATTAGATTTAATTGATTACATGACAAATTGAAGCAACACCCCTGTACCAAATAACTTCAGCTCCTCTTTTCATTTATTTGCTTGTTTGTTCATTCTTCATTATATTCCTTAAGGATTATTATATGCAATTAGGTGAGAACAGAAAAATGAGTTGGACATTTAGAGTCGCTGATTACATGCTGGGGAACACTCTTCCAGCAAAGAATCAGCAGACATTCTCACTTGCGAATTTCAGGCATCTCTTAAAGGACTCAGCTACATTAGTAAAACACACACACAATGTTTTGAATGCATTACAAACATACAACATCAGAGGACGCCACAGAGCAAACAAATTTCCTATGAGATTTTCACATAGCGTTTGTTTCTTTTATTATAATGATTTAATTTCTGACTTATTTATAGCGTTTTTTTCCTGTGTAGATCCACCCAAAGACAGGCTTTTCAGCCATTTAATTCCTGATTAACCAGTCACTTTAATGATTATCTGTATATATTTTTTAAAAAACTTAAAATAGTCTTTTATGTTTCATAGTGAACGTTGTCTTGATATTTTATAATGTGGCACAGAAATACATTTATATATCAATAATTCCCTACAATAAAATGGGATCCTTAATTATGCCACAGTGTGTTCCAGTGTCAATTTTCTACCCTAGTAATTTGCTCATTCCCTTAGTCTTTAGTTTCAAGTAATAGATTCATCTTTCTTGAAACAAAGAGATGTTTCTTAGTGAACTTGATCCAAATACATCTTACATGACAGGAATTTCATATAAAGTGCATGACTTCATGTGGGTTGTAACAGCCCCCTGAGACAGTTATCTCTGCTGCATTTCATATGTACATTTAAGGGCTAAAACTGAGAACAGTAACTGATGCTAGCTGAGGTCACTGCCGTCACTTGAATGAAGCTTGAATTCTACCTTTTATAAGAAAGATCTCTTCCCTCTCTCTTGCACACTTGTACACACTGGCAGAAAAAGATGCAGATGCACAAAGTAGAACCTCCTTCACCATCACATTGTTCCCATCTTTAAAATCTAGACATCAAAAAAATTGTCAACAATTTCAGAGTCATAGTATTGCAATCAAATCCACTTATTCATACGTAAACCAGGAGCAATTTCAGTGAAATCACTGACTATGAACAAACGTATGGCATGAGTTGTGGATCCATGCACTGAATCTTCTTGCTGATTTTTATGTCTGTGGCATGGTTAGGACTGCCATATGTCTGGATTTGCCCGGACATTACCGGGATTTCTGAAAGGCTTCACTTTGTCCTGGATCTTAGGCAAAAATATGTTTGCACCCTTGTGAATTTGGCAAATCATGGGAGTTTTGCGGTATAACGTTCCCACTGCTTTCATAGATGATGCCGTGTTGCAAAATTTGGGGTGGTAGTCCATCAGACGGTTCTTTCCCACCTGGGGGAACAGAAAAACACATGCACATAAAGGCTGGCAACATGTCAAATGAGGTATGCTGATGTGTCATCCTATGCCCACTGTTGTGAATAAAAGTGTGGCATGGCAGTATATTGATCAAAAAGATACAATGCAATAATGCAAGAGATAATGCAATTCAAAAAGAACATTAGAAACCCAAAAGGAAACACTAGCCTTATAACAAGGAAAACTAACCCAATAATCCGTATATCTGAATGCACCCTCAGCTGAATGCCACCAGGAATTTCTTTTCTTTGTTTTAATAGGCTGAAGAATATAGTCTTGTTTAGGAGGCCAACTTAGTATTAGGGCACATGAAGTCCAGCCCAATAGTTCTTCCAAATGTTAGAGGCTCCAACCTCAGTCATGTTTTCCTAATGCCGTAGTGTTTCTCTTGAACCTATCAAGTTTATAGTTCATGTTCTCCTTTCCTGCATCAGTAAAGGAGTAAGCCTAACAGTACTGGTGGGGTCACACAATGGTTTTTGCAGGTTACCCACAAGCACTGTTTATTGCCTGATGTATTCCTAGCGAGACTTTGAATCTGACTCATCCGTCGTTCCTCATGCTGACTCAGGGTCTCTGTGGGATTGATGTTCTTAGCGCCTCAGGCACAGGTTGGATGTATTTGTGGGGTGGAATGGCTGGGGGAAGAAAATCTCCAGCCATAGATCCGTTTGTTATGTTCTAGCAGAAGCCG